TGGTAATTAAGAGAATACAACTGGATAAAAAAACTTACTTTATTTCCCCAAATTCGCTTCTAAGAATGAGCTTGTAAAAGAAATTATTACATGGGGGCTGGCCAGGACTGGTGGCACCATTCTTCTTGAGGGAAGCTTTCACAGGATGATGGAGTTTCCCTTTCCTATGAAGCATAAAGAGCTGGAAAGGACGTTCAGTTCTCGGGAGATCCCTTCTCTTCCCACCCCTTGTGAATGTCCAGTTCCTTCTTCTCTCCTCGGAGGAGCTCCTCAACCTCGGCACACTGGTTGGGGAGACCACACTGTGCTACATGTAGTTTATTTGTTAAACATACCACCTTCCCACTTGAAATACAGAATTTTATTTTTTCAGTTTGAAAGCCTTACACGGAATTGGAGCCCAATAACTATCAACATTTGTTAAAGAATTTGAGACTTTGAGCTAGGTTTATATTTAAGCAATTGAACTAGTTTGGTTCAGGATTAATTATTGCTCAACGTAGGGTAGGAAATACTGTTTATTTCAGTATTTCAATAATTTCAAAATTTAAAAGCAAAGGAGCATTGGATGTTAGGTTAACTATTTACTCTGGGGAGGAAGGGAAGGAAATGGGATTGAGGAAAGTAAATGATGACCCACTGTAATTAATGCTTTATTTCTCTAGTTGGGTGATATATAACTGGGTGTTTGTTCTATTTTTTCTTTGTGCTTTTATGTAAGCCTCGTATATTTCATTTAAGAAAACTGGCTTAAAAGAAGGTAAATAATTTCAAAATAGAATTTCCAAATCTTTATAATATGAGATCCAATAATGTTACTATACTAAATCCTGTACTTAAATCTTCAAGCTTTTATTTTCCAGTTACTGAGGAACTTTAATAATTATTTGCTTCCTAAGGATATATTTTTTTCCTTCCTCACCATTTCCATGCCATTGATTCCACTGTTGTGCTGGGGTGTACTGGGAAGAGCTATTTCGCATCAAATAGATCTAATTCTCAGTTCTTTAATTTACTGGCCATGCAGCTCTAAATAACTTCCTAAGCCTCAGTTTTCTTTCTTATAAAAACAGCATATTATTATATCTAACAGCTCTCAAGATTAGTATGAGGATTAAATGAAATAGCAAGTGTGAAAATGTTTGCTACAGCATCTGGCACATAGTCAATTTTCAACTGGCATATTATCAGGGCTCGGTGGAGACATTACCAAGGGAGCCAGGTTCATCAATGGAATTTCACTTTCTTTCTTTCCTTATCCTTCTACTTTCACCATTACTTGAGCTTTTTACTTCAAAAAAGTATAAAAAGGAGGAAAGATTAAGGTACAGAGGATATAGGCAATTGTGCAAGCATAATGACAGCATTTCATAACTAAGAAAGGCTGGTCATAGATTCTTTTCTAGAGTATTCCTTATTCTAATATTTCTCACATAATCTCACCAGCAATTAAAGCCCAAGGTTTTTGTTTTCTGTTTTTGCCACTAGTCACAGAACCTTCAGAGACAAAATATCCTATTCTAGGACTTCTATCTCATTACCCACCCCTTCTTCAAGACAGATAATCTAACCAAAATTCACCTTCAGTAGTAGATGATGTTTATGGGCTTAAAGAATCTCTAAAGCTTTCAGTCGGAACCCTTGTAATGGTCATTTTTATAAATTAAGAGATCTAGATTCCCACGTCTGTCAAACACTAACAATATAACCCACTAATCTTCTATATTTCTTTGAGTCTAGTTTTTTGTATGTTTAATGAGGGGGTTGTATTAGATGATCTCTTTAGCTCTAAAGTCCTGTAAATAGTTCTTGATGCCTTAAGGCATGTAGCAACCTAACAGTAAATGAGGCAATACTACTTCCAGTGGGATATACTGACCACGTAACTGTGTGTTGTATATGAAAACTGTTGTTGGCTTCTCCTGAATTCTGGGGATAGGCTCTGGCCCTGCCAGCCTGGCATATTCTCAGGGCTGGGTGGACACATTCTCAAGGGAGCAAGGTTTATCAGATGGAATTCAAGGAGAGCAAAAAGATGAACTTCTCCATGGAAGACTATCTTTTTGCATTTCTTCTTGAGAATGGAAAATGACTGTCATGCTTTTATAGCCCAGTAAAAGCTTTTAAGGAAATGGGGATAGCAGGAGACAAGAGAGAAAAAAGACATTGTGAAAAGGAAAAATAAGAGTGTCCTTTTTAAGGAGAAAAATGACACTAGAGGGAGGAGGTAGGCAAGAAAAAGACTTTTTCCCTGGTATTTTTACCCAGGTGAATTTAGTTTGTGAGTTGGAGGGCAGTAGGGAAAGAAATGAGGAGGCTGTGGAAGGGGAGGAGAGGCTTACTTTGGGTCTGTACGTGTGTGGGATCTACATGCTGACACTAATTGTATTTCACTGTGCAGATGCTTCCCCCTTCCTTTCCTCCCCTTTTCCGTTGTCCCAGGTCTCTGCAGCTGTGCTTGTCAGGGCCCCAAACTGGTTTGATCTCCACCTCCTCAGGGCCCATTCCCTGTGCTCTGGGGGATGGGGGCTCGGGTGGGAGCGTGGTTGGTGTTGGAGATGGTGATGACAATTGTGATGGGGAAGACATAGATCAATTTTCCTAAACTAATAGCTTGAGGAAGAATTCTACATTAACAACAGCAGCAGCTCTGGACAGATCTAGTTAAACTTGACAAAATTCGAAAGATCATTGCTGGCTTTTATAAAAAGGTGAATGTATTTTAAAATTTTGTGTAGACTCCCCTTTCCTCTCTTTCCTAGCCCATGATCTCTCAAACAAAAGAGGACAAAACATTAATAACTCCTTGCCTTTATGTAGGCATGCTTTTCAAGCCACTTTTATATCTAGTAACTCAAGATAACTGGATAAAGTTGGTACCAGTTTGTTTCCTAATAGCACTAAACCACAGAAATGCTAAATAATTTGCTCAAAGTCATGCAGACAATTTATAGTAGAAACAAGACCAGGACCCATGAGAAAACACCACACAATTAGAAGGTAAAATCTCTAAGCATCCACCACTGGACATAAATGGTACCTGAAGGTATTGGCAGGAACGTTCCTGTTGACATGACTCTGACTTCACCATGGCCTGGTCCATGTTAACTGAGGCTTTCTGGTAAACCTCCCGGGCTCGGCTCACTGTCAGGGTGGAGGACCAGGCGCTCTTCTTCAGGAGTGGTGCGTCCAGGTTGACTGGCAGGTTGGCACAGGTGGAGCACTTGACATCGTTGTTACTCCGGGAGGCCTTGACCGCCTGTTCGCTAATGGTGTTGTAGGCCTCCATGAAGTATTGTGAGGCTGAGCGGTCAGGGCACCTGCCCATGGTCATCACACCAGAGGGGGCATGGTAGATGCACATGTCACCGTCGAGGTTGTCATCTGAGCTCCACCAGCCTGGGGAGGTGTTGGGGCGTGGCTTGGGCTCAGCCCGCCGCTCCTTGCTCTTGCTTCGCTTGCCATACCTCACTGTCTGTGTTTCGTCAGGGCTGGCTTTGCCCCCATTGACACTGCCCTTTGATGGCCCTTCCAAGGAGTGTGACTTGGTGAAGAGCTTCTGAACTGAGTGGACCAGATGGCGGATGCGGCCAGGGCTGTCGCTGCGGTGCTCCAGGGCCGTGCGCTTGTACTGCAGCGTGTGGTAGCCATCTCGGTTGAGTGGCAGCTGCCTCTCAAACTGGTCCAGCAGGTTGGCGGGAATGCGATTGGCCTTGGTGGCCAGGGTGCGGGGCACTACGGAACACTCGTCCTTTAGTTCTTGCTGTGAGTTGTAGTGCCTGCGTGGGAAGGTGCTGCTGGCCAGCGGGTCGCTGAAGGGGCCCACGCACTCGGCCTGGAAGGAGTTCCGCTGAGTGTAGTAAGGATGGTCCGCGGGGTGGTGCTCCACCGGGCTCAGCAGGTATGGCTTGCGGTCTGAGTGGTGCGACAGTGAGTCACAGACAGAATCACAGGTAACTCCGTGGTGATGGCTGCGGCTGCCTGATAACCCTTTCATTGCGGATGGGGTGCAGCCGCAAGGGTCATGGACACCCCGTAGTTAGGCTCCAGACCCGTCTCCCACAAAGACCTGGGGTGCAATGAAGAACAAGAGAAGGAAAATGGTTAACACTTCCCTTGGTATGTAGGTACTGCCCTCTTTTGTGTATGCTGTCTTGTGCATTTATTTTCTGGCAGAAGTCATCACTGCCCCTAAAAGCAGCTTTAATGCATTTTTGGGAAAGCTCTACCATCTCTATAGGATGGGAAAACTCACTCCAGATTTGGAGAGATCGTAGGGTGAGAGCTAGTAAACCTGGAAAAGGAAACAATAAAAATGCTAAATTGTTTAAAATTATTCGAAAGAAAAACTTGCCTGCCCTCCAGAATTTCAGGAACTGGATATATTATTCTTTTGCTTCTCTGGTTTTATTCTTAACTGTATGTTAATTGTAAAGCTAGCACACCTGAAGGGCTCAGTTTCTCTGGAAAGACTTTGCTGATCCCCCTTGCAGAGAAAATTAGTTCCCCTCTGTGTTTCCATGGCACCTACTGCACCCTCTCTCAGCTCCTGTGGAATTGTTTCAGGCCTTCCTTCGCTAGCTTAAACTCTGCAGACCAGCTTACCTCTTAGTCACCTTTGCATCCCACCTAGCACCAGGCTGCCCAGGTAAACACATAGTAAATACTCCATAAATGTAAATAAAATCAATGTGAGTAGAAAACAATACATTAAAGAGATTATTGGCACATTATAACTGAGGATATATCTTTCTATCTTCTGTCACATGCTTTCCTGTTAGAATTCTCTGGTAAAAATCACAGCACACAAACAATTCTTCCGTGGTGATTAGAGCTGAAAAAAGTAATGGGGACAAATAAACAGAGCTGTAGAAAATATCTGCCCCCATATTTCTATTGTCAGAGGGTCAAGAGCTTCCTGTCAACAGAGTGGTTGGAGGACAAATTATCTTGAATTGGCTCATTTGAATATCATGGCATCTTGTCTTCCTGGCTTCAAGGTTTATAGTAAACATTCACAAATGGCAAGATGGCCAAAGGAAAGGCCTTAAAACATTTCCGAGGACATGAAAGGCCTGGACCTAAGGGTCAGCTCTGCCTTGGAGAGAAGTGACTCCTACAGATCTACCTGCAGGGACTCAGTTCACTCTGAGCACAGGCTTCCCTATGCTTTAGGGGCTGCTGTTCCACTGGGAGGGTTATTTTCTTTTGACTCTAGTAAGTGCGTTCTTTAGTGGCTGACTGAGTTCCTACTGACATCCTGATTTTTTTTTTAAAGCTTCCTATAACACAGAAATTGTTGTAATAAGAGTTGTTCTGTAAAGCCAATGTGACTTTCCAAAATATCACAAATGTCATTTTAGATATTAAGAGAGAAAGAGAGAGAGAGAGAGAGAGAGAGAGAGAGAGAGAGAGAGAGAGAGAGAGAGAGAGGAGAGAAAGAGATAAATGGTTTAATTTAAAAAGAACAACAACAAAATAAAACATGAAGAAAAATGCACACTTTTGAGAGGTCAGGTCTTGTCTATTCTTTGGGATGTGGTGTGCATGGCAGCTCCTGACAACATTGAAAATCTCTTTCCATGCCTTAGGAAACTCCTTTCTTCTTCCTAGTCTCTCAGTTTCTGGATTAATGGCTCAGGAAAACTGACGGGAAGTTTGAATCACCTAGTCCCCCTGGCTGAGAGAATTAGCTCTTTTGAATTTCTCTTTTGAAATTAGTTAGTCTACTAAATTATGAGCTCCTTGAAGGTAGAGACTATGTTTTATCCATCCAGTGCCCGGCAAAGTGCTTGGCTGATGGTGATAACTCAGTAAAATATGTATTCAATGAATGAATGCATCAGTGGAATATTTCCCAAAATGGTCCATACAGTGATCAAGTTACATATAACCAGTGGAAAGACGGCTGTGTGCCAAAGGAAGGGCGAGGGTCAAGGAAGGGACCATCTTGAGGGCATGTCAGAAATCAGCAGTTTTTAGAGTGCTTTTTAGTTTTTAGAGTGCGGGAAGTGGGAGGCAGGCAGATGAATGCTCCTTCGGCCACTGTTAGCTTTTGCCTCTGACTCTCCACAACTCACCAAAGGACATCCCACCTCTGGAAGCTCTACCTGCCTTGAAGTTAAAGTCGAGGAGTTTTCCTGGCATGACTGTAGGATGCCTAGACACAGGACAACCTGTCTGAAGGAAAGAAACTGACACCTGAAGACACAAAAAGGAAAGCCGGACTCAGGATACCTGTGTTTCAGAACTTGCAAATCAAAACTTGTCCACTGAAGACAAACTAATGAAAAAGATTTTTGCTTAAAATACCTTGGGAGTGCTTTGCATGAAGTGATGATCCTAAGTATCAGCTGTGTCAAGGAGGGATTTAAGAGGGTTAAAACATGTCTTTAGCAAAACTGAGGCACCAACTAATTTAGATGAAAAAATTCACTGCATGGGGGAATCTCTCTATACAAAACAGGTCCTATTGAAGATGTTTTTGCCCTTTAAATATGGACTTAAAAGTAAGAAACAAAAATAACAACCCAGTAGGACTACAGCCACATAAAAAGTCTTATGATTATATGTAATAGAATCTCAATATATAAAATAATAATGAGCAGCTGGGTCTTGAGTAGATATTTTCTGCTAATAGAATATGAAACTGGCAAGAGTTCAAAACATGAATTATATTTATTTTCTCCAAAATGTGTAAGATTATTTGAATCATTATTTAATAATTAGTTCTCTTTAAAGTATGAACAACATCTCATGGAAGATGATGTTACCCGAGGACAAGCATAGCAAAGGAAGAGCCTTTTTTAAAGCCATTAGAGATGAATTGGCTACGTGCTTTGACTGATGAGAATTTTTGTAAATTAAACATACATAGTATGATTTTTACTAAAACTTAAGTGGGCTATTTTCAGCATAGGGACAAGCACTTATATTTTCTTAGAGGGCAATACACTGCATCAAGGATAAATAAGTTAATGCTCCTCCTTATTTACTGAATATTCATAAAAGGATATTGAGATCATGATCAATTTATTCTATGATATGGGCAAATGAGGCCATGAAAAAATGGCATTCAATAATTATAAACATTTCTAAATGCTCAATCTATCTTTTTGATAAAGGCCAAATAAAAACTTAATACCATGCCCAGTATAAACAGAGAAAAAATATCTTCCATATTTTTCTATAGAAAATATTACACTGTTTTGTACTCTCTTGGCCTTTTTAAAGGAAACTAGATCAATTTGTGATTATACAATAAAGCTACATATGCAGTGACTTCAAGTGGCATCCATGGACATCACTTATAAGCAGCATCCATGGATATCACTTGCTTCAGCCTGTGGAGCAACCCACAGCATCCCTGGGCAGAATTAACCAAGCACCCTTATGTGCAGGGCCCGGCGTTCACTGCTGCAGACAACTGTATGCATACAGCAAATCCTCATGGCCAAAGGCTTATTTTGTGCTCAGAGAGACGTGACCTAGTCATGAAAAATGATAAACAGCAATTCTTGTAATCCTCCGAATTATTGGAAAAAGAAGCTGCTATCCCCTGAATTAGATTTTAAGTGGCCATAAAAGATTTTGAAAATACAAAGGGAAATCACCTCCGTGCCTTCATCTTCAAGCAGGGGCAGGGACAGTGGGCCTCGACCTGCCCTCGGAGGGGTTTCTATGACTACAGGGATCATTCTTCAGTGTTTCTGGTTCACTATAACTTCAAAATGGTATTTTCTTGTTCTCCTAAGTCCGGTTTTTCCATTTGACCATATGCCCTCATTTTTGGCTTAGAAAAGTTGTTGACTGTCTTGGCTACCATTAGATAAGCTCTGAGTGTGAGATTTGCAAAGTCCCCACACCTGAGCAGAGGCACTGCGGTACAGATGATGTTCAAAGCAAGAATGGTTCGGCACACTAAAGGAAATTCTCAAAGTAGGTAATTTATTAGACCTGAGGTAAAAACAACCAACCATGTATTAGCAGGTGCTGACAAGGGTAAAATCATCTTGCAAAGCAGGCAAGTCCTTATTTCATTTTGGTTCTGTGCCTGCCTTTTTTTTTTTTTTTTTTTTTAAAGCTGCTCTTCTGGAGTTCTCTTCACGTGCAGGGAGAAGAGCTAAGTGAAGGGACCTGACTCTCTCACTTTTTAGACAGCCTGGCAATCGTGACTAGCCTTAGAAAGAACAACACTGGGACCCTGCCTTGGGGAACAGGGAGCACTATGTTCTCGTTTGGGGTGACAATGGGAAGAAGACATCTTCATGAATCTTTTCAGGGTCAAGTGGCATTTTTGGCTTCCTGCCATGTGACCTGCCCGCACCAGGTTATAGTTCAACTGAAGAGAAAGAAAGGATTTCTTTATTGACAAGTATAAAGTAGTCCCAGAATAATGACCATGCTCCCCAGGCTCACTGACGGTACACAGGCGACTAATCTGCTAATGGAACATAACTGGACATGGCATGTGCAACTTCTGGAAAATGCCTCTACAGTGAAGGGCATACCCTTCTTTACCTCTTCCCAGGCTGGAAAGCAGAACTGAGGGCTGGCAGAGCAGTCATCTTGTACCATGAGGTGGTAGTCACAGTTGGAGGACAAGATAAAAGAGTTGGTCACAGTGGAGTGCCTGCCCTTTGAGCCCAGGACACCTACCTCTGCTTCTTGTTTATTGGGATGAAATAGACCTTTACCTTTGCACCCTATTATTTGTTTTCTGACATGTGCATCTGAACCTATTCCTGAGTGAGATGGGTAGTCAGGGCCAAATTCTGACGAGCTTTTGTAAGCTAACCTAGCACACAGGGCTTGATTGGCAGATGCTGATGCTCCATGAGTGCGATTTAAACCAGGCAGTGTCATGGCCATACATTTGTACTAAAGATTTCTCTGGCTGTAGTTAGAGACTAGATTGGGAGGTGGGAAGAGGCGAGAAGATCTAAAAGCAGCAATTATTTCTTGCTTGGGCAGCTCATGAGAGATTGAGGGGAGGAAGGGGACCCCAGTGAGGGTGAGAATGTCCTGGCTGGTAAGGGCAGTACCTCCCATTTCAGACTGTCTTGCTCA